AAGTTCATGTGGAACAACAGAGGACCCCAAATCCTGAGAAAAAATAAATAAAACCAGAGGCATTACACTACTTGACTTCGAAGTATAGTACAAAGCTATAGTAACCAAAACACTGGCAAAAAACAGTCCCTTGGACTAATGGAACAGAATAGAGAACCCAGAAATTAATCCATGTACTTACAGCCAACTGATTTTTGACAAGCCACCAAGAACATACATTGGGGAAAAGATAGCCTCTTCGTATATGGTGCTGGGAAAACTGGATATCTGTATGGAAGAATGAAACTAGACCCATACATCTTGCCATGTATTCAAATCAACTTAAAATGGATTGGGACTTAAGTATAAGACCTGAAACTATGAAATTCCTAAAAGAAAACATAGGGGGAAACACTTCAGGATGTAGGATGGGGCAAAGACTTTATGAATAAGACCCCCAAAGCACAAATAACAAAGGAAAAAAAATGAACAAATGGGATTTAATCAAACTAAAAAGCTTCTGCAAAGCAAAGGAAATAGTCAACAGTGAAAAGACAACTTAGAAAATGGGAGAAAATAGTTGCAAACAATACATCTGACAAGGGATTAATATCCAGAATATACGAGAAACTCAAACAACAGTAAAAAAACAAATACTCCAATTAAAAAATAGGCAAAGGAGCTGAATAGACGTTTCTCAAAGAAATACATGAAAATGGCCAACAGGTACATGAAAAAATGCTCAACATCACTGATCATCAGGAAAATATAAATCAAAACCACATTGAGATATCCTCTCACCCCAGTTAGATTGGCTACAATAAAAAAGACAGAGACTAACAAATGCTGTCAAGGATGAGGAGAAAAGGGAACTCTTCTACACTGTTGGTGGGACTGCAAATTAGCACAGCCATTGTGGAAAACACTATAGAGGTTTCTCAAACAATTAGTAGAGTTATCATATGATCCAGCAATCCCATTTCTAGGTATATACCCAGATGAGTGGAAATCATCATGTTGAAGAGATATTTGCACTCTTATGTTCTTTGCAGCTCTATTTACAATAGTCAAGATAAGGAACCAACCTAAATGTCCATCTATGGATGACTGGATAAGGAAAATGTGCTATATATACACAATGGAATACTACTCAGCTATTAAAAAAAAATGAAATTCTGCCATTTGCAGCAACATGGATGAACATGGAGAAAATTATGTTAAAAAAGCCAGGCACAGAAAGAAAAATATTGTATGTCCTCACTCGTAAGTGGGAGGAAAGAAAGAAAGAAAGGGGGTTGGGGTGGGGGTGGGGCGGGGAGAGAGAGAGAGAGAAACCACAATAATATGTTGAACTTTCAGAGGGAGACAGTAGATCTATGGTCACTAAAGGTGGGAAGGAAGAGTGGGAGGAGGGTTTGGGAGAAATTGGGTAACGGACACAGAATAGTTACAAATTGTAATGATGAATGTGCTAATACTAATTTGCTCATCACATATTGTATATAAATACTGATAGTCAACTCTATACCCCATAAATATGTATAATCAATTATGACCCAGGTTTAAAATTTAAAAAAAAAGAAATAGAAAAAAATGAAATGAAACACAATAGAATTTATTTCACGAAAACCTTTTCTCAGTTGTATGTGTGTGTGAGAGAGACAGAGAGACAGAGTAGATCTCATTGATGTAGTAAGTATTTCTTACTTTGGGTTATCACCAGAAAGGTTTAAATACCATTGCTTTAACCAGTTTATACTTCAGTTCCCTTATACGTGAAATGGGGATAATAACAAGGCTCTTATTTATCTCATAGAGTTAATGTACATATCAAATAAGATTACTTATGTGAGATTTTTCAGTGAACTTCAGCAAAGTGCTTTATATGTAAATTTAAATGTTGTTGAAAGTGAGGATGAGTCGTTTGTTTTACAAAATAAAATTGTACCATCATTTTCTGTGGCTTATATTCACATAAATCTCTCTGGAAGAGTAATGTGTGAGGTCAGACTACTACATGAAATTCCCAAACAATTCAAAGTTAATTTCATATGTTCTTTTTTGCTACATCAAAATAGATAAGTATTTGGCATTATCTTTCTATTATCACCATGACATACTTAGATGAAAATAATCGAATTAACAAATCAATATTTTATTTAAAGTTTCTGGGGGAGTTCTTTCCAGGAGAATGAAATTGAGTGTTTGCCATTCAGTTATTATCACAAATCAGTGTTTGGACTTTCATCTACACTGGTATTGCAAATTACCAGGTACTTTCCAGGTAGCTGTACTTATGCAAAGATATTACTGCCAGCAGTCATGTCCTAAAGCAAATGATTTTACCTCTACTCATAGCCTGCTTTTCCCTTCCCTTCAAACAGACAAACAGGCAGAGAAACGAACAAATACTCGTCTTCTCAACCTACCTATTTCAATGGTTATGCTATTCAAACTTTTTGTCTAAAAAAATTGGAGCTTTATTTTCCTCTGTTCTAGTAACTCCCTTAATCCAATTTGTTGCCAAGTTTTATTTATTGTTTGAAATGTCTCTCTTACTATCAATTTCCTCTGATACCACTCTAGCCCCAAACTTAATCACCTCATTGCCACATGATTTGAAAATATTCTGTTTCATTCTACTCTATTTGGGCCTGTTAAATTTTCTTAAAATATTTTTGTTAGAAGAAACTTTTTACTCCTTGCACAGTACTCATAAAGGTTATAAGACCCTCACATTAATTTCAGAATTTTTCATGGCTACCAATGTCTTTTATAATATAAATCTATAATACCCTTTATTCATTCATTCATGCACTCATTCATTTATCTAAACATTTTTAATTTCTATTTTTGCTAGGAATGTTTTTTTTTCTAAAAAATTTATTTTTGATTATGTATATTTATGGGGTACAGAGTTGATTATCAGTATTTGTGTACAGTATGTGATGATCAGATCAATATTATTATTAGCATGTTCATCACTACAAATCGTAATTATTCTTGTGTCCCTTACTCATTTACTCCCTAACCCTCTTCCCCCTTCCCCTTTCTCACCTTTAGTAACTATAGGTCTCTTATTAGGTACTGTGAATATTAGTTAAGTTGAATACAACAGTCTCCAGCATTTAGACACACATACCTTAATGGTAAAGACAGACAAACAAACATATACAGATAATCACAATGTTTTATGACAAATAAATAGTATGCTATGAGGTCAAAGGAAAGGGTCCAACCACCAAATCTAATTTCTTGCTATTCTCATCTCTTAATCTTTTACTTCAGCCAAACAAGTTTCCTTTGGAAATTAATCACTCTTTTAAAACTTTATTGACAAATACACGTGATGCTTGATTTATTTTTTCAACCCAAATACCATTCAGCCTAAAGACTCAGCTTATTATTCTACCTTTATCCTAAAACCTTCCTTTACCTTTTCAATCCAAACTTATATCTTCATCTTCTTATACTTAAAATAGGTTTAAATGTTTTTAGTATCTAGTTGTGTTAGTTTTATATATGTTTTGTCTCCACAACTGAGTTACATTTTTTTTTGAGGGCTGTTTCTTTGTTCCATTAGTACCAGGCTCAGTGTTAGGAATCTAATTTGTGTTTATGTTCTCTAAGAAAACCAACCAATAAGGAGCGCTCATACTTTAAAGAAACAAAATGGAAAATTTCAAGAGCATAAGCCTTAGCTAAATAACCTCATTTCAAGTGATATATTTGCTAAACCTACTCTTGTATATTCAGTCACTTTGTGAGTTATAATGTACTTTTCTCCAAGAAAATCAAAGCATCTTAGTTTTCCCCATTTCTCCTGCCATAAAACATGCAGTAATTAAATGTATCTATTATGTAAAAAATATTAGTTAAGTGAGGAATTCGTGAGAGAATTTAGTTGCCCAGATTTCTAGTGTCTTCCACTATGAGGGTACTTCAAAAAGTTCATGGAAAGATTCATATTATCATTCAGTTCTATTTTTCCATGAGCTTTTTGAAGTAGCTTCATGTTTAGTGAGTTCTGCATGGCAGCTTTTTTGTTTTTTGTTTTAAACCATGTGTCCAGTTTAGAATGTCTAGATAAATTTCTGCTTGTAGAGGCAAGTTTTTGGACAATTCTAGCTAACTCTGACTTTACTTCTTAACACGTCTTTGTACCCTGGATTCACAATACAATACATTTACAAGCATAAAGACAACTTGCTACACGTCAGTTATAAAAAGATCTTTGTTATTTGTAAGAATTTGTCCTTTTCTTCAGAGATCTGTCTGTTGTAAGGGCAGATTCTGCAAGTCAATTAGCAAGGTTGTCTATAATGAAGGCAAACTGGAGAGATGTCTGCATTCTCTGAGAGAGGGCCTGTGCCCACACCAGCAGTCACAAAGCTTTGCCAACAGCCTAACTCCAGCAAAACTCAAGCTAATCTGAGGGAAATATTTAAATTTCTAAAAGTCCAAGATTTCTCAGTTTTCCTTTTTATCCAGTCCCACCCAGTTGCATACTGTAGAACAATATACTAATCAAGAATAATTCTTCCTAAGCTGAAGTAATGAAATTCTTAAGTTTCCACTCAAGAAATCCCAAATAAGAAAAGTTATATTTTGTACATATGCAAATTTCATAGTTCCTAAAAATTCTCTCAATTAACCATTCAGTGCCTATCAACCAAAGCAAAAGGAAAAATAGATGGAAGAATAGGATGGGATGAGGTTAATTTTGAGAACAGCTACATTTTTGGGGGAACACTTACTATGTAACAGAGATTATATTAGACACTTTAATACATTATGCATTTAATTACAAAATTGCAGGAAGTAGGTATTACCCCTGTTTTATAAATGAAGGAACTGAAATCCAGAGAGGTTAAGAAATTTGCCCAAGGTAGCAGGGCAGTCAGGTTAGACTCTCTCACTTCTAGAGTCCAGGCTTGTAAAGATAATACAATACTGCCTTTGATAAAAGATCTTTGCTCAAGCATAGATAGGAAATCTGTGACCACCATATCCTAACAAGTTCATGAATAATGATTTACCTGTGGTCCAGCAAAGATGCTACTAAGGATCCAGGCCAGGCAAATCATGGACTGTCCGAGTTTGCTGTTCCTTTTTACGTCTAGGGGCCTTGTAATGGCCAGGGAGCGGTCCAGGCTGATTACCACCATCATGAAGGCTGGGGCGTACATGGAAAAAAGCTTCAGATAGCTGAGAAATTTGCAGAGGAACTCTCCAGCATACCATTGTACTGTAATGTTCCACATTCCATCTAGTGGCATGACAATCAGCGTCTCCAACAGGTTGGCTAAAGTCAGGTGTTTTAAAAGCAACTTCATTCTTGAGAGCTTTTTCCCTTTCTCTTTCTTCTGGGTCCACTTCTGAAGTTTCAACAAGAAAGAAGCATTAAAGGTTGTGGACAGTAGAAAAAGGAAGAACGTTACCGTCACTCGAATCTTTCCAGATAAGGTCAGGGTGGGGAGGTTGCCCTGCATCAGGGGCATACTGTTGTTGACTGATGAACAGTGATTTTGATTCTGTTCAAGAGAGGCACTGTTTGCCATATTTCCCCAATGTTAGAGCGTAGAGACTTGTGTTTCTGGTACTTCTGATGATTTATTGTGATCGAACCCAAAGTCCTGTTTTATTTCTGCCTGCTTTGGACGGAAACGTCATAGATTTAGATTTATGTCAAATTTTGTCCCTGAGGTACCTTTGACTTAATATGAAAGATCAAGGTGAACTTGTTTTGAGGGTTTGTAATCCAACAGAGTGCTAAAACAGAGCACGCCAGATACATTCTGAGGGCCAAATGTAACTGTACCACCTTAGCAGATGGCCTGGCTTTCACAACATTTTTCCTAGGTGAAGGACACTTGAAGCCTAAATTTGAATTTAGAAGTCACTCGTGATATTATTCAAATAATTATAATGGAGAGATTTTCTAAAAACTATAAGTGTAGTGTTCTGTCTAATAGACAGACACAAAATGAAAATGAAGAAAACTACTAAAAAACCCCAAACCTTGATCCAATTAAAATCTGTTGTCTTAAGAAATCAACACATTTCTCAAAAGCATTTCTTTTTCTTTTTCAAACAGTGTTGAGCATTCAAACACTAGACAAATATATTAATTTAAAACTATCCTACACAAAACATCAATTAATACCTAAACCATTAATCATTAATGCCTAAACAATTGGAATCATTAATATCTAAACAATTTAGATAATCATTAATACCTAGACAATTAGAATAATTTAATCTAATACAAATTGGGTTGCATTTAGATTTATTAACCAATCTAATAGATTATTCATGCTTAAATTAGAGTAAAAATAGGCATTTTTGATTATTGCCTTGATTTTATGATTGTCTAAATATTGTATTTACTATTATTGCATGCTATTGGGTAAGGGAAATAGATATTGGAGAGAATATTGTATAAATGCTATAGCTGTATTTATATATGTTTATATATAATATCATATGAATATTTATGTTCCTCTATATGTTATCCCATCACTTCACATTGCAACCACTTGGAAACTTTCTCTGTGTTGCTGCTTTAATTTTCATGGTGAGAGCTTTATGATGTTATTTACTAATATGGTAATATAGGAACCAATTTAACAAAGGAGGTGAAAAATCTCTACAATGAGAACTAAAAACCACTACTAAAAGAAATTAAAGAAGACACAAAAAGATGGAAGGAAATTCCATGCTCTTTGATTGGAATGATTGACATTGTGAAAATGTCCATACTACCAAAGGTATCTACATATCAATGCAATCCCCACCAAAATACTATGACATTCTTCACAGAAATACAAAAAACAATCCTAACATTCATATGGAAAAAGAAAAGACCCCAAATAGCCAAAGCAATCCTGAGAAAAAAAAAATAAAGCTGGAAGCATAACACTACCTGACTTCAAATTATACTACAAAGCTATAGTAACCAAAACAGAATGGTGCTAACATAAAAATAGACACTCAGACCAGTGGAACAGAATAGAGTACTCAGAAATCAATTCACAGACTTTCAGCCAATTGATATTTGACAAAGGCAACAAAAACATACATTGAGGAAAAGACTGCCTCATCAATAAGTGGTGTTGAGAAAATTGGATATCCATACGCAGAAGAATGAAACTAGACCTGAACCTCTTATCATACACCAAAATCAACTCAAAATGGATTAAAGACTTAAGTATAATACCGGAAACTGTAAAACTACTAAGGGAAAATATATGAGAAACAGTTCAGGAACTAGACTGGGCACAGACTTTAATGAATAAGTGTCAAAAAGCACAAGCAACAAAAGAAAAAAAATATAAACAAATAGGATATCAAACTAAAAAGTTTCTGCACAGCAAATCAACAGAATGAAATGACAACCTACAGAGTGGGAGAAAATATTTGCAAACTATACATCCAACAAGGTATTAATATCCAGAACATACAAGGAACTCAAGCAATCACACAGTAAAAAAGACAATTAACTCAATTAAAAAATGGGCAAAGAGCTGAATAGACAGTTTTCTAAGGAAGATATACAAATGGCCAACAGGCACTTAAAAAAGTGTTCAACATCTCTAATCATCAGGGAAATGCAAATTAAAACCACATTGAGATATCACCTCACCCCAGTTAGACTGGCTATTATCAAAAAGATGGAGAATAACAAATGCTGGTGAGGGTGTGGAGAGAAGGGAATGATCCTACAGTGTTGGTGGGACTGTAAATTAGTACAAGCACTATGGAAAACAGTATGAAGACTTCTCAAACAACTACAGATAGATCTACCATATGACCCAGCAATCCCATTTCTAGGTATATCCCCAAAGGAATGGAAATCCTCATGTTGACAGAATACCTGCACCCCCATGTTCATCACAGCTGTATTTACAACAGCCAAGATATGGAACCAACTTAAATGTCCATCAATAGACAACTGGATAAGCAAAATGTGATATATATACACCATGCAATACTACTCTGCCATAAAAAAGAATGAAATTCTGCCATTTGCAGGGACATAGATGAGTTTGGAGAAAAATATGTTGAGTGAAATAAGCCAGACACAGAGGGAAAAATACTGAATGTCCTCACTCATAAGAGGTAGATGAGAGAGAAAGAAGGAAGGAAAGCAAGAACACAGTGGTGTGTTGGACTTGCAGAGGGAGAGAACATACCCAGGGTTGGGGATTCAGGTGGGGGAGGGGGCAGGAGGCCGAGGATTAATTGGGTGAGGGACAAGGGGGAATAATCACAATTTGTGGTAACGGGCATGCTGATAGTATTGATCTGGCCATCATATCTTGGGCACAGGTGGTGATGGTCAGTTTTGTACACCGTGAATATGCATAACCAATAAAATTTTAAAAAGTATTTACCATACTTACATTGGAATTTATTAAATCACCAGCTTGATTTGTCTTAGGTCAAGTAGTTTGCTTCTGTGGTAGCCAAAGCAGGAATAATGTTGAGGATAGAGGTGGCTCTTTTGACTTAGATGGTCTGTTCTTGTTGGCTCACTTATTTGTTTATTCCGTTGAATAAGTGTTCATTTATTTAACAATAGATACTAAATATCTTCTATATATACTCTCTTTGCCTCTGCTGGTGATAAAAAGTGAACACAACTTTATCCAGCACCTTATGGAGGTTATTTGGTACAAAAGAAGATTAGATAGTGTACTAGACATATCTTACATGCCTCCTCATCTTCCTTCGTACTGGCTGTCTCCTGGATCTTGAGCAGCTTAGAATAGTTGCTTACCTGGGCTGCCTCTTGCCTGTAACTATATGCCCAGAATTACTGGCTTCTCTCACTGTTTCTGGATTTGGATGAACTATTTTACTGCAGAGCATGGAATTTGGCTTCCCGAGTGCCTTTCTGAAAGCTCTGGAAATATTTTCTACAGATTACTTTGGTATTGAAATTTACTGTTTTGTAATAATTAGTGAGAGGAATAAAAGTCAAAAATTGTGAGAAGTATGCCTTTTAGAAAAAGTAACACATCTATTTTACCTATTTGTAAGCGCAAATACAGCATAAACATGCAGTGGACTCTAATTATTTGTCATAGATATGTTCTATCAAGTTGCCATGAATACTGAACCACTGTCTTTGGGAAAATAGAGTTAGGCTCCTGCAAGCCAAAACATATGCATTACATATGTTCATTTGCCAATGTCCTTTTAAAACAAGCCAGTCTCATCAGCATTGAAAACCTGCTTTTCCACATTACTCTTTCCTATATAAAACTTAGCATTTAAGAAATTCTTTCACAGCTTCTTGATCTGCTGAACCTGCCTTGCTTTAAAAAAATTACTTTTTAAAATTTTTGATTGACACGTAATAATTGTACATATTTATGGGATACAGTATGATGTTTAAATACATGTATATAATGTATAAATTCAAATTAGGGTAATTGGCATATCCATCATCTCAGACTTTTATCATTTCTTTGTGGTGAGGACATTCAAAATCCTCTTTTTGCTATTTTGAAATATACACTATTGTTAACTAATTACACTACTGTGCAGTGGAACACTAGAACTTATTCCTCCTAACTGTATTTTTGTACCATTAGCCAACCTCTCTCTCTTCCCCCCTCCTCCTACCCTTCCCAGCCTCTGGGAACCTTCATACTGTTTTTCATAGCAGCTGTGCTAATTTACATTCCCACCAACAGCGTATGAGTTCCCCTTTCTTCACATCCTAAGTTGAACATTTTTTCACACCATATCATAGCCTTTGGTGTGCAAGCCAGCTATCATCAGTTTCTTTGTCTTTCAGCTTCACAATAATGTTGTCCACTACATTAAAAAAAATGAGTCTTCATTTCATGAATCCATAAATTTAGTCACTGTTTTATCTTTTCCACAGCTTTATCAAGGACTATAGATTTCACTTTAGCATTTTGTGGAGCAGCTTCATGTACAGGTGGGCAAATTTCCTCCTCCTCTTTTGGGATGTACTTTTTCCAATAAGGCAAACCCAGCTTTATTGCACTTAGGAACATTCAATACCACTTCGGCACTACGCTTAGGGACCATTGTAAACAGTGAAATCACCAACAAAGAGGACAAAAATGTGAAAAGCATCACACTAAATAGACCATGAAAAGGACACTGTTTATAGTCTGAGAGCTGAAACTAGAAGGCAGAGCATGGCCTTGTTGCACCTCAGCTGAGAAACTGCACATGGGGCAGCTCAAATCTTTCCCACTCTGTGCTTGCACATGACAGTGAATGATCATGAAAGCTCCATGAATATTGATTTTGGGGTTATAAATAAATTTTAGTAATTGGACAAATTTGCAAATACAGTCATTCCCCCCTTATCCGCAGGGGATACATTCAAAGAGCCCCAGTGTATGCCTGAAACTGTGGGGAGTACCATACCTTACAGATAATATGCATGAATTTCTTTTCCCTTCTTCACAATTTCCAAAATTGTAGATTTGTTTTTACCGCAGATCTTAGCAACCTCAGCATGTGATTATTTTTTCTTTCCTAAGCTGAGAGCTTTCACCTTTTCACTTAGAGGAAGCACTTTTCAACTTTTCTTTAGCATATCTGAA